TTGCATCATATACATAGAATTTTTACCTCAAGCAATTCCTTAGTGATCGTCGTCTTTTCCAGGGCCGTAATGACATCCACAACAGCTCCCATATCGATGACCTACAAAATTAGGACAACTGTGACATCGTAAAAAAGTTCCTCTCTTATAAGTATCAACATATTTTTATTATTACTTTATCTTTCTACAGGGTAATAGTTGTCTTAAATTATAATACTTCTTTGGTGAAATGATGTTTCATAACTATTTTACTGATTTCATATAAGGTTTAAGATAGTTTTGTAAAGTATTGTAATTCTTATATATCTTTTAATTATACCGATGTATGTAATATTTAAAAACTTCATAAATAAATCATATATCTTGTTATATTATACTTTTCTACTAAAATTCATAAGAAATTATTATATGGTATTTATTGTTATGTGTTAATTGTTTTATGACTATTATTAAGAATAACAAATATATAATTAACCATGTTTTTATTTAAGACAAATTTTGTATTTATTTATTTTACATATTCTTATCTATTGTACAATTATAATTTTATTATTTTATTATTACTTAAAATATTTTTATAGAGTTGAACACAATGATAAAAAAGCATCCAATTTAATATTTAAAATTCCTATCACATTGATGGATATAAAGTTTTCAGACTTTGGCAAATTAATTTCTAGATTATTTATCAGTGCCTAGACTGCATCATTCTTTAAGATCAGTTATCACTTGTCTAACAGTGATATGTAATGTTAAGTATTTGTATTTTTACAATAATACATAGATTTTTATTTTAATCATTTTAAGAGTATTACTTTTAAAATAAGAGATTAAATTATATTATTTAAAAATGCTATTGTTACTATTGATAGGACCATATTGATTTAATTTTAAGATTTATATTGTATCAATAGGTAAGATCATATTGCTTTAATTAGCAAGATAAACTGTTGATAATAGTACGATTACATTCGATTTTTACATGCAAAATGCAATAGTCAACACGTGTCCGTGGGTATCTTTTAAATATGGGACAAACGGTACATCTGACTCATACTGATGTTAACAATTTTTATTGAAAGATATTAATTTCGAACATCGAAACGGCGATCGGGCCAGAGGTACAAAATATTTTCACGAAAAAATTTTGATACAATTGAATGCAATCTTATTTCCGAAGACATCTGAAACGTACAATGTTAATTAATTGTTTAAGTGTATGAAGGTATAAGGACAATATGTAAGTATTACAAATACTATACTCGTGTAACGAAATAAAACCTCGAGGAAAATCTAGAAAGAAAAGGAGAGAAAAAGAAGAGTGGTGTTTCAAGATCTCTTCTCGATGTTGTACAATTCGTTGCAATATTAAGGTTATGCTCTAGGTAGTCGACAAACGCGTTTACGTTCGACGTACACACATTCGTGCATAGACAAGATTCGCCGCCTGGCAGCGTACGTACACACAGGAACATATTACTCACTCACACGCGGAGCCGCCGCTACACTACATTCTTAGTGACTCTCGCGCACGCCACTGGTACAGGCACACGGCGCACGGCGCACGGGGGATCGAGAGTGGCCCGATAGCCGTTTGCGTGAGCGGACGGATGGCGCATCGCGGATTCATTCCGCTACTTACATTGTATTCCTTGTCAAGAGATTTCAACAATCTTTCGGTGAGCTCGGTGCAATATCTCTGCATCGGGGGGGCACACTTAGGGCCCTCGCGGGGAGATTAGGTTAGCGGAAAATCGGCTCCACGCGTACGAGTGTCACGAATACGAGAGCACGGGGGGACTTGCAATGGCGACTACTGAACTGTGCTCCGCTCGCATGCCCTCCCTGCCTCCCAAGTGCCTCCTAGTCGCAGCCCATGCATCGTCCCTAGCCCCACGCCGCCTCATACTGCGAAGCAAGCGCTACTAGCTCCTCTCGTGGTTGGACGAGACTCCTCACCATTACCACACCTCCCTTCTATCCCCACCACCTATCAAATGGCGCTTCGCTCGAATTTTAACTTTTCATAGTTTATTCAATTGCTAGTCGAAATTCTTACTCGAAGTATTGAGTAAACTGATTCAGCCAAGGAAATGGTTAGTCTTGAAAAGCAATGTTGTACCTGTTTTATTGACAATTAACTTAGTTGTAAAGTAACCTTAACTCTCCTTAAGAAAAGAAATTATAAGTGAAATAATTTATCCAATCGATCGTAAAGTCAATTCAAAACTAATATATTAGGTCTTTAATTGGAATCGAAATATATACTACATATGCCTGATAACAATGTTCTGATTATTAGGGTTCGAGTCAAAATTTAAAAAAAAGAACTAGAATTTATTGGAATCACGTAATGGTAATACGAATAGCAAAACGTCGAGATTATTTAACAATAATATTTATTTTTGATATATATTATATTACTCTATAACCAACCATTTTTACTTTATGGACCTATTCATTTCCCGATAGCTTACTCTTTACAGCTGTTCTGTTATAATTTCCTCGGTTTCACTTGTAAACACTTTGAGACTTTGGTATGTTTACGTTGACACTCTTTGATTTACAAATATCTTTAATAATAAATTTGAAGCTATTTGCGAAACAAACTGTTTTAATTAAAAATTAACTTTCGTTTTAATAATTAAATTACTTATTTTTCATAAATAAAATTGCAATATACGTCTATGAGAGTATTGTTAACATACGGGCAGTGAGATGAACTATAGAAATTGCATAAATTTTATATTATCAACGTAAGAAAATAATATAACTATACAACTTCTTTCATTTATATGGCGGCTAAAAATGGTCCAATGAGTAAAGAAGATTCTGGATCATTTTTGGAGAAGTTTACTAGCTAGAAACTTTCCCCTTCTTCATGATATGACTGCGCGCGCACTGCTTAGATCGCCCAACGGAGCGACAGAGCGACTTTGACCTTCTGAAATGTCTAACTTACAATCAGACTAACCTACGAATGATATGTCACATGAAGCGCTTTGAAATAACAATGCTTTGATACTAAACAGATCATGGTATAGTATAAAATAGGTTACTAGTTCAAGGGTTAAACTATTACATATTGAATACTTTATTAAATTTCCAGAATTAATTTCGATACATGTAACTAATGTTTCGAATATTTTAATTAAATAACATACATATTTAATACATCAGAATACGAAACATGCATTACAATACGGACCATACAATAGACTACTTTGAAATTTAAAGGATGTATAAGATGTATGTAAAGAATGTATGGGATACATTAAAATATCAAAAAAAATGCAATATATGTAATCAAACCTGCATATTCTACACATTTGAATCGATTTTAAATATCATAAACATAAAATTATGGAGTATTAAAATATTCAATATTTTACTGACTAAATATGCATACATGTTGTATATTTTTAATATTTTAATTTGACATTGATTCATTTCATTAATGTCTTATACACTCTTGATATTGTAATGTATTATAGTGTATACTGTATAATTTTTATATTCTAATGTATTGTATTCCAAAAGGGGATTTGAGATTTTGTTTTTCCAAATACTAATAGTATGGAAAACACCCAGTTTTTTAATTTTAAGTGGACACTCCCGTGTGCACTTGTGCATATGAAATGAATGTAGTGTTGAGTTAGTAAGCCTTTATGTTAAGGCAGATACTTCTTGATAAATCATATCTGCAAACATGGGGTTTTTGCCACAATGTTAAAAAGTCAGTATGCTTTTTTAAAAAATCAGCAAGTAAATCAATCTATACAGATACACATTAATACTTGTAATTACACAGTAAAGTAATAATTATCAATATCTTGTTATGGTTCAATATAGTGGCATATATTACAATTAAGCTTGAAAATAGCATTAATTCGAGGTAATATATAATGCTTATGGATCCTTATATTAATAATGTACATTATGCTTTATCTACCACATACTATTGAGAGCACTGTCATTTCATAACAACTGTGCAAACTATTGCATATGTATTGAATTAATTTAATAAATAAGAATCCAATGCTAGAGTTAATAACGCATTTTATATTCTACCTATCACAGAATTATTCAGAACCTTGTAATTTCGTAGCGACCATCGAACTCGTATAGGTTATATAAAATTAACTCTGAAAATACGAGATATATCTAATATATAATAATTTGATCGTTTCATAGCGATTCATGTGTCATATCACTTATAGGTTAGAATGTTAGATATTTTGGGAAGTTAAGTAGCTCCATCTGTAATCACGTATGTTGAACAGTTGGATAACATAATGATGAAAGACGCCATTTATCTATTAAAAAGGCGGTAAAGTTATTCAAATATAAACAAGAAATTTCGGTACTCTACTGAGATCACTCTTTTCCAAAAAAGCCGTCGATATAATCACTCTTTGGTTTATCAATACATGTGATCAGCGGTGTATGTAAACATGCCAAAGTCAGAAAAAAAAGCAAACTGTCTGCCACATGTCTACTCTTAACCTAGTAAATGTGGCCTACAGTAAAGAGCTGGAAGCAGCAGACTGGAAAAAGGGAGGGACAAAAACACTGAACTATATTATTAGTATAGTTTAATGGATAAAAAGGAGTATGTTGTCCCGGGTATGCTATTAGAAGACTCATCAATAAAGCTATCTAGCGAACCTTGATTTAGACCTTTTACTTTAAACCTTCATTTCAAACTTTAGACAAATAGAAGTCAAAATCCTCCAGGTACATTTGTTACACTATAATTATACATATATTGCACTTAACTTTATAAAAGTAAATATCTTTTATGATCTGAATATGTACCTACACTGGTAACTTACTACTAAATTACTGTTCATAGAAACCTACGTCAGCTAGAAAACTACGAAAACAGTTTTGTAGTTTGTTAGTTACCGAGAATTTAAAAATAATTTTGACAACTATTTGAAACCAATTGAAACCTTGGAGAAACTATTCAACCTTGCGAGATGGCGCTACAATCCACCACGAACAACTGATCTTCTAGAGGATCACTAGATCAATGCCACGAACGTCAGTCATACGTCACAGATCACAGAGTAGAATAACAGTACAATAGAGGTTTTGTGACAGCACTAATACTGTCATAGAATCACGAAACTTTGAGTCTTGAGAATTAAATATATATATCTAACCTTGATTATAATTCGTTATGCATGTTTAGACATACATATGTACATATGAAAAGATTAACGTTATGATATTTCTATAAATTGCAAATCGTTTGAGTTCTTAACGATAAATGTTACGCCACATGAAAAATGGATGCATCAAGTGATTCAAGTTTATATAGGTTAGAAGGAACAGATAAAAATCAAGCAGGAGGCTTAATTATTCGTAAAAAGCCTTCTGATCATACATTTAAAAAACCTCAGATATCTGTTTTGGGCCTTGATAAACTCGCGAAACGAAAAAGGCAAGAAAATGCACAGGAGCTGAGTTTATCAAAGCCTCAGTCAAACTCACAAAAGTCGGAGAATAAAGGGAGAAAATACCGATCTTATGCGGAGGAAACACCAACTCATACTGGTGGAGTAAATTCCGAAGCTCAACAAAGATTAGAAACCCGATTGAAACACCAACGATTAAGTGCACAAGATAAGCATCACAGACATGGTCACAAAGATCGTAGTCATGACAGTGATGGAAGAAGAGATAGAAATAGAGAAGCAGATAGAGAAAGTGAAAGAAGTAGAGGTAGAGGTAGCGTAAGACAAACACCGTTAAGATTCAAAGATGAACCGCAAACCCCAGTATTCAAAACAAAGGTAAATAAAAAAATCTTCCTAATAAATTATATACTATGACACAATTAAATAAAAAAGTAATAGTAATTTGCGTTTAATTAATGTAAATAATTGTATGATACATAAGAGATAATTTTTGTTCAATCATTATAGGATCCAACATCCAAAAGCAATTGGGACGATGACGATGACGAAGAACCAAGAAAATCAAGTTGGGACCATCCCACGCCAAATCTTTATAGCAATAGAGACGGTCGTGATAGTATTAGAAGTGAATTCACACCTTCGTATAAATATAACTCTTGGAATAAAGACTACAAGCCCAGTGGTGCTACACCTATGGTAGATGGAGAAGAAAAAGAATTATGGGAAGAAGAACAACAAAGGTATTTGTTATTATAATGCTATAAATAAATATACTTTTATCTATTGCGCTAATTAAAAAGTAAATATTTGTATTTAGATTAGACAGGGAATGGTATGCTTTAGACGATGGAGAAAATCATGCATTTGCTGATGTATCGGAAGAATATACACGTAAGAAGGAAATGGAACTTGAAGCAAAACGACAGAAACGGCTTTCTGCGCAGCAACGACAAATAAATAAAGACAATGAATTATGGGAACGTAACAGAATGTTAACATCTGGTGTCGTGAGTTCGCTAGACCACGATGATGATTTCGATGATGAAGGAGAAACTAGGGTACATCTCCTAGTTCACAATGTTGTCCCACCATTTTTGGATGGTAAAACATTTTTATTGCATTTCATACTTAATCTTATGTTTTATCTTGTGTTATTTGAAGTAAGAGGAATATAATACGTTAAGTTTTCTAGTAAAGAAAAATAGAGAAGGTACTATAATATTAAAATTATATGAAATTGCCTAGGTCGAATCGTATTTACTAAGCAACCAGAGCCAGTAGTTCCTGTACGTGATCCTACTTCTGACATGGCCCTTGTAGCAAGAAAAGGATCAGCGTTGGTACGAGCATATCGCGAACAGAAAGAGCGACGCAGAGCTCAAAAGAAGCATTGGGAACTGGCTGGAACTCACATTGGCAATATTATGGGTGTTCGTAACAGAAACAAAGAAGATAAAGAAGATCCAGGGCAAGAAACTGATTTTAAAGCTGGTCAAAAATATGCCCGTCACATAGGAGCTGACGAAGTTACTGGGGAAGCCAAATACAGACTGATTCAAAATCAAAGGAGAAGTCTCCCAGTATTTGCTGTACGTCAAGAATTATTAAACGTTATCAGAGAAAATAGTGTAGTAGTCATAATTGGAGAAACTGGCAGTGGAAAAACTACACAATTGACACAATACCTTCACGAAGATGGTTACAGTCGTTATGGAATAATTGGATGTACGCAACCTCGAAGAGTAGCAGCTATGTCCGTGGCTAAGAGAGTTTCGGATGAAATGGCTACTACTTTAGGAGATAAAGTTGGTTACGCTATCCGTTTTGAAGATTGTACTTCGAAAGATGTACGTGTTACATTTTTAATTTTAATAGTAGCGCACTAACAAACTTAATTAAAATATAAAGAAATTATAATTTGGAAAAAAGTAAAGGATAGAGTGGTCCTAAAATAATTCGTATTCTTCTTTGTAGACTGTTATTAAATATATGACTGATGGTATTTTGTTAAGAGAAAGCTTAAGAGAAGGAGATTTGGATCGATATAGCGTTATTATTATGGACGAAGCTCATGAAAGATCTTTGTCTACTGACGTCTTATTTGGCTTGCTCAGAGAGGTAAGTACTTAATTTTTAATCCTAAGAAGACTAAGCTCTTTAAGTTGTGAAAGAGTTAACTTGCAATACTTCAATAAGATAAATTTATATATTTTTAATTTTTTATATTTTTTAATATTTAAAAAAATGTTGTAGGTTGTAGCTCGTCGACATGATTTGAAATTGATTGTAACATCTGCTACAATGGATTCAAGCAAATTTTCAGCATTCTTTGGAAATGCTGCAACGTTCCAAATTCCTGGCCGTACATTTCCTGTTGAAATATTACATGCCAAAAATCCAGTCGAGGATTACGTAGATGCTGCAGTAAAACAAGTGCTACAAATTCATTTGCAACCACGTTCTGGTGATGTATTAGTTTTCATGCCTGGTCAAGAAGATATTGAGGTCACATGTGAAGCGTTAAAGGAACGTTTAGCGGAAATAGAATCAGCTCCTCTACTGTCTATTTTGCCTATTTACTCCCAGTTACCTTCGGATCTACAAGCTAAGATCTTTCAACGTTCAGAAGGAGGCTTGCGAAAATGTGTTGTAGCGACAAATATAGCAGAAACTTCATTGACTGTCGATGGAATTGTATTTGTTGTGGATTCAGGCTACTGCAAATTAAAAGTCTATAATCCACGAATTGGCATGGATGCTTTACAGGTGTATCCTGTATCTAGAGCTAATGCCGACCAAAGAGCAGGAAGGGCAGGACGTACCGGTCCTGGCACCTGCTTTAGATTGTATACGAGAAGACAGTATTTGGATGAATTGCTACTAACCGGAGTTCCAGAGATACAGAGAACAAATTTAGCAAATACTGTATTGTTACTGAAGTCTTTAGGTGTCCAAGATTTACTAGCCTTTCATTTTATGGATCCTCCACCTCAAGATAACATATTAAATTCTTTGTATCAATTATGGATTTTGGGTGCACTGGATCACACAGGACGCCTAACACCTTTGGGACGACAAATGGCAGAATTTCCTTTAGATCCTCCTCAATGTCAAATGCTGATAGTTGCTTCTCAGCTTGGTTGCACCGCCGATATCCTCATTATAGGTATGTATGTTTATGAAGTACACAGCACTGTTTCGTTATTACATTCTTATATTTAAAATATTCTTGAATTTTCTTTTTATTATTGTTCTTCTTTGCATTAAATTTATTGAGAGTTTAATGGGTGTTCAGGTTAGGTAGATCTAACTCCACCGTTTACATCTATTGTAGCTTTACCTGAATATTTTTATGACTCTATCCTCTCATACATTTTTGCTTTATATCGCATTACAGCTGGTTCTATACTTTTTTCATTGCTTGTTGCATACTTCTATTCATTTCTGGTATCTCTATTAGGGATGCTATTAGTCTTGGGGCTCGCTGGATCCCTAGTAGCTCGGGTACCTCGGGGTTGCTAAACCCGTACTGTAGTTACATTCAAATATAATTTACCTACAGCCCCTGAGGGTTTTTCACATTATATATTTATTTATTTTACAAACTGTAAAATATGTTTCGTTAAGTTCGCAAAGACTACACATCCCATCCTCAAAGAACTTGATGAGTAATAATTATACAGAGTTACAATATCTCTTCCAGTGTCAATGTTATCGGTACCATCGATATTTTATCGACCAAAAGGACGCGAGGAAGATTCTGATTCAGCAAGGGAAAAATTCCAAGTACCCGAGTCTGATCATTTAACATACTTGAACGTGTACAATCAGTGGAAAGCGAATGGTTATTCTAGTTCATGGTGCAACGATCACTTTATACATGCAAAGGCAATGCGTAAAGTAAGAGAAGTTCGACAACAGCTTGAAGAAATCCTAAAACAACAAAAGATGGAAGTTGTGAGCTGTGGCACTGATTGGGACATTGTACGGAAATGTATTTGTTCGGCATATTTTCACCAAGCAGCTCGTTTAAAGGGTATTGGCGAATACGTTAATTGTCGTACCGGGATGCCTTGCCACCTTCATCCAACTTCAGCTCTGTTTGGTATGGGATTTACACCGGACTATGTAGTGTATCATGAGCTTGTGATGACTGCCAAAGAGTACATGCAATGCGTCACTGCCGTCGATGGACACTGGCTTGCTGAATTGGGTCCTATGTTCTTCAGCGTGAAGGAAACTGGAAGAAGCGGACGTGCAAAAAGACGCAAGGCAATGCAACATTTGCATGAAATGGAAGGACAAATGAAGGAAGCCGAAGAAGAAATGAAAGCGCGCGCACAAGAGCAACTTGAACGAGAGCAAGCTTCTATCAGGAAGTAAGTTGTTTTCTTAATTTTTACTTTCTTTCACAAAGTTGCATTATCTTGTTTACAATTGCATTGTTTCGTTTATAGAAAAGAAATATTGACACCGGGTATCAGAGAACCAGGAACACCAGCTCCTTACCGTAAGACTCCAGGTAGATTAGGGTTGTAATCATACTCTTAAAATGTGTAAATATAAAATGTAATGTACGATAGAAATTTGTAGTAATTTTACAAAGTAGTCACGTCAATTTTTAAGCACTGATTTATATTAAATGTTTTGCATAGACTCTCTACATTTTTTTATTGTTCTTAATTTAAGTATAACATACTCTGTTGTTATGTATTCTAACAAGTACTTTCTGTATAAATATGAAGGTGAATTTTTCATAAAAAAAAAATGTAATTTCATAATAAGGTTATTTTTCAAATAAATTTTTCAATTATAGAAAGTGTAAAAATACAATGTATATGCAGAAAATATAGAAGAATTTAAAAAGAAATAAAATAATGAAATAGCTTTTGTAAATTTTTATTATCGTTACAGATATATCCTCCCTTTCACACAAGTCATGTACAGGTACACTTATATTATACCAATTTTATTAGCAACATCAAGCGCATCGTAATCACGCGTCAAGCGTACGTACGCTTTCTTTTTACCATCAGGCCTGATTAACGTGTTAACCTTAGCGACATCAACATCATACAGTTTTTTGATAGAAGCTTTGATGTGGTATTTGTTTGCACGAGTATGGACAATAAACACTAATGTGTTATTGTCTTCAATCTTTTTCATAGCAGCTTCAGTAGTTAATGGAAATTTAATAATATTAAATGCATCCATACTGAAAAGAACAAAATATGTTTTAGATGTTTTTTATAAATATTTAATTTTATATTGTATTCAATACATATTAATAGTTCTTATAATTGAAACACAAATTCTAGTATATGAACAAAACACAAAATATGGAAAATTGCAAACATATTTTTTATGCATGTAGTTTTGTAGCACTTACCGATTTCTATTTGGTACAGACTTCCTTGCATATTTTGGATTCCTTGGTGGCCTGAACGTTTTTGGTCGATGGAAATGTACAGATGTCCTTATTTTTCGTACTCTTGATCCATGAACACCTTTCAATATCTACACAATAGAAATACATTATTTTAACTTTATTACTAATTATCCAAAAATTATTTATCTTTCTCTCATTTAATCAGTACTGTTGTAAAATTGTTATCATAAACATTCAAAGAGATTCCCTAATATATTTCATCATGAAAATATTTTATGTACAAAATGTAAACATTTTTTAGTAATGTTTCCAGAAATTTGGACAAGCTGTAGCTTTTATCCAAATGAAAATACTATCAATATTGGAAAGTATTTTTTGATATAATTGTTGTTGCAAAACAAGAAATTTTCTTTACGAATATTCGAAATAAGAATTTTTCTATACAAACAAAAATATATGGTTTGATTGAAAAGATATGTGCGCTAAAACTAAAAATTAGCTTATCAAAAGATTCTCTTTTATAGAATTCAAGTTAAACGTTTAAAAATATGCTATAGTCTACCCCAGTTTCTAGAATCGCCTGGTATATATTTACCTTTTTCTGAACTTTAAGTGCCTTTTGAAGTGGCGCAGCTGGTTTTCCACCTTTGGGTGTTTTCTTTGTTGCTTGGACATTTTTTTTAGGTTTGCTAATTAATGGCTTAGCAGCAACTTTGGGTGCAGGTTTTGCAGCTGGTTTTGCTGCAGGCTTTGCAGCACTCGCTGATTTGGCAGCTGCTGGTTTCTTTGCAGTAGCTGGCTTAGCAGCTGGTTTTGTCACTTTAGATGTTGAAGAAGCGGTTGGCTTCTTTTCACCTTTTTTTTCTGTTTTCTTTTCAGAAGATTTGCTGGCTTCGGAAAGAAAGGGCAATAGGTAAATAATGGAATTACGCCTTATTAACCAAATATTTAAAATATAACATTCTTAACAAAATAATGTAACACCATACTCTAACATGTCATTTATGTTTTAGGTTATGTCGACCGTATACAAACTATGAAATATCACAATTTTGTTGAACACTCTTTTACATCAATTACTCAAATACATCTAATAAGCATTTTGAAAGTAGTGGAAAAATAAAAAAGGTACGAGCATATCAATGGTTTTTATAATGTATAAATATAAAATCGACCACATGGCAAAAGTTGAAAGCGAAGACATATCAGTTAAACAAAGTTTCGTATCACTTATTTCAGAAATATATTTTTATCCATCGCTCGTTATAACTTCATGAAACATTTATATCATCTTTTAAAATAAAACTAACTTTTATTAACAATTTAAGAAATATACCTGCTTTATCGGTGGGCTTCGGTTTTGGAGCCATTTTGCTAAAAAGAAAGATAACTTGTACCGGAAACTGACATGTAAGGAAATGAATTCACTACGTTAATCGTTGACATGTAAATTTGTTATTACAAAAAGATAAAATCGCAATTTCTATAAAACGTACATTTTACTAATATTTTACTAATGTGGTACAATTCCGTTCATTTTTTCTAAATCAATTTAAAGAATTTTATTACATCGGATACTTTACAACTTTTTCAAATTGAATTCACATTATTTTTATTATTTTTGTATACACAAGGTAGACAAATTTAGTTATTTATTAGTGTCTGTAACTGTAAAGTTAACAAGAGTGCATTTTGCAAAGTTATAACTAGTGTATGAAAAACTTGTAAAATTTAGCAAATTTACCCATGCTATACCTTTGAATCAAAGTGCTATACTATATTTCTTTTATGAATTGGAATTCATATTCTAATTATTTTCATTTCCGGGGATACATTTTTTATTGTAAACATTATATAATTGTAACTATTAATAGTTAATGACATCATAGTTTGCTTAATTTTGTTATATACCCCTTAACTCTTTACAGACGTATATCAAACAAAGCTCAACAAGAAATATATTGAAATCAGAAAATCTAAACTTTTATTATTGGAAAGTAAAACGAAAACTTGCGAGTTGTGAGAAAGGATGAAGAGTAACTTGGGGAGAGGGGGAGGGACAATTCAGTGCCTCTGGTGGATATTATTACTACTAAAAACGTATTTACAAATATTCTATTTGATGGTCTAGATTGGTTCTAACTACGGTCATGCAGGATGTAGGTCATGTGGGGTCATGTTTTCTGAAATTGTTCGTATGTTCATGATTGAAAAAGAACAATAAATTTGTCAGAGGTAGAAGAATCTATTTTATCATTAGTCACATGATGTAATAGTATGATACACTTAAAAGAACGCTAAAAAAGGAAATTAAATACTATTCTAGTTTCGTTTTTTGCAGAATGTTATTGTGTTATGTAACTGATAACAAGTTTATTGTTAGGCTAGAGGTAGTAAAAAGTTTAGATCTTATAAATGTATCAAATTACTAGATTAACTACAGTATATGAATATTTATTGTATTGATATTGTTTAATAATAGCAAATTCTTACTAATAATGAATCTCGAAGGGCTTAAAGGGGAAAGGTTAACAAAAAAAAACATAAGAAGATACAAGATTTTAAGGTTTAGAGAATCTGATCTCTAGAAATTATAAAAATGAATTCATAGGATTTGTATGATTGTTTAAAATTTGTTAACAGAGAAAGAATCACTTGATGCAGCTGAAATTGAATAAACAGGTTTATTTCTGTTTAATATGTAGGACTCAAATATTTTAGCCTCTTCTCGTTTGTATTTGTTAGTGGTGTTTATTAATATTCTTTGTTTTAAAATTATCAATGTCAATGTTTTGCAATTTTCTTATTCATTTGACCATGTAAATTATTTTTATAATTTTTTCAAAAGTTATTATACATATATGCATAAAATGATGGACAACATCCACTAAATGAGAAATAATCAAAGAATTAAATAAGCTAACAAATAAAGTAGAAATAGAACAACATCTAACTGACAATGAGCTTTGATATTGTAACATATTTCAAATAACCCGCGCACATTATAACCTTCCGGCTACGTATTATAAACGGACTCATCCGATAATCTCTCTTCGTTCTTTATATTCTTCCGTCTTTCTTAAACTTGGATTAACTTATGCCTTTCGTGTTACGGGAAAAATACGTTCTGCTCCAAGTTCCTGACAGACAAAGTCAACCCACACGACTAGACGGACTTATAGTTAGTCGCTTAATGTGTGGAATGTGACGGGTTTGAACTAATGCGCTGTTACGTGTACCGATTATTCAGTGGTGAGAAACTAGTGTATCTAGATCATTTTAACGCGAGTGCAGCGCACTTAAGGAAAAATTGAAAAGACAGAAAGTGCACTCACGTGGCCATCCATTATCTCCAATTTTTATTCTGCCAAGTTTTCAACGAGGAAATAACAACGAATTCATTATTAAAATTTGATTTAATCGGAAACACTGATTCAGGTAAATACAATGACACATTTCAACAGGTGGTAATGTCAATGGTGAATGGTGGAGTAATAAAACTAGTAATAGTTCTATGTATATGTGCATGTGGGTGTGAGATCATCACTCATAAAAACATTTAAAAAAAAAAAAAAACATTTTGCGAGTGTGGCATATAGTTTCGTGCTTCTACATATATACATCCGGCTACATTAATTCTTGCCGAATAAGAATAAAGTCTGGTTATCAGCGTCTTCTTTAAAACAACAGTTCGGGCTTGTACGCGAAGAGCACAGAGTAGGACAGAAGCGAAACTTGTCGACATCTTTGATGTCAATTAGGCCCTGTTCTAAAAAAAAAATGGAACCAATGGACCTCTTATCTAAAGTGTATCTGCGCTTGGATAATTTAGTCTTAACAAGTAAAAAGAAATAAAAATATACATATCGAATTGAGTAACCTCCCCTTTTTCGAAATTTGCTATAAATGCCATCGTACGAAAGTTTGTTGTATAATTAATAAATTATTCAGTTACTTCATTAATTAAGACCTTGGTCGTGAACGTGAAAATTCCTGTAAGAATGTTATAAATATACCCCTTAGAATTTCTAAGCTTAGCGTTATCTTAGAAAGTTCTTAGAGGCAGCATTGCTAGATTTTTACAGGTGTACATACAATCATGGATATGTCATTTTTGGTTGGCCAATAGATAAAAATGGAAAGAGAGATATTGCGGAAACAGTATAAAGCGCAACGATATTTCAAGTGTAAAGTCGCAACAAAAATTTATAGGAAAACATTTATTTTTCTCAATTAAATTTGAAGTAAAATCGTTTCTGTGTCACTGATAGTTACAGAATTAAATATGTTAATTGTAACATACATCAATAATTATTTCAATTACGAATTCTTTTAATAAAGAGAGGAAAAAATAACAGATTGATACAAGTTTTCTGTAAAATTTATGTAGTTTATTTATTTTATATGTAAAACACGACATGGTTCGCAATAAAAATATTAAAAATTTTTAATGTTCTTAACTGTAATAATCTGTTACGTTACATTACCATCCAAATATTCGTGATATTCTCTGACTGATGGCTTTAATTGTCATGCAAAATGTTTGAATAAAAGTCGCTTGTGAGTATGTAATATTCATTATTTTTTGGAATTAGTCATTACCTATAAAAAAAAATAATTTCGAAGTTTACGAGCATTACATTGTACATCGAGCCTAAAAAGGTTAACCTAAAATTTTTAACCTATATATGTATATGTGACGCGTCCCAGAAACCGTTATATATAACAGTGTGCCGTCAATATTTGTATGAAGTGAGTGTTTAAATGGATTATCAATTTATAGATTAGATTATTTCTTACTACATATGTTTTATTTAGTTTGAATTCCCACTAGGAATCCAAGTACCACTATAGTATATATGTATACATATGCATTGATACCTCTTTTATAAATTAATAAATTTATGCATTCAAGAAAAAATTTACTTATTACAATCAGGCATACAGTAATGGTACAAAAAATCTGCAAAGGTGGCGTAACTCCATAAGAGATATTAAGCAATAAAGATAATAAATCAGTTGCTGGTTCCTCAAGGTATTGCTATTCTTCCAAATGAATTGATGGGAATCATTTGACAATTGCACAACAACTTTGCAATTGCAATACAACTAACACAATTGAAGTTCAAATGTAACTTCAAATATATTCTTAATGTAGAAGAATCACTAAAACTTCATCACTACATATAGATTTCATGTTCTTCTTGCAGACTCTACATTGTAAATATTATAATGACAAAACCTTGAAATTGATTAAAGGTATACCATTGTTTTGAGAATTTTATGATTTCTTGCCTGATGTACATGACAAATGATGTAATATCTTGTTTCAAGGTAAATTACTTACCTCAATTTCCTTTTTCAGAGAATAGAAATACATTGAGTAATATCACAACTTCCTTTATTGGAAGATGAGACATTATTGAGATTTCTTTTACCTTTTTTTACGACAAAACACAATTTCAAAGATATCGAAATGATGACATAAACTCTCCCTATCGTGCAGACATAAAATTATGTTAGCAGTCGTGTATTACCACATTGCAGTATAAAATTACAAGGAAGTGCTTGAGAAACCTATATCTATGTACAAGTAATTATAGACTTCGCTCATGTATGATATTTTTCTTAACCATGAGAATATTCTGTTCTAATTGGTATTCTGAAAAGGTAAATAACTAAAAGTAAATGATACATTTAATATTTTACTCACTTTTAGAAAAAGATATAACCAGGTATTGTTAAATAAAATTTCAAATTTGTACAAAAATTCCAGACAGGCTTAATGTATTAATTATTTCTAACGTATGTCACACAGATTGCAGACAAGCATACATTGTGTAACTAATACAATATGTTGGATGCATTATAATTACAATACATGCGATATTACGGTGTGAACTTTGAGACTTCAAGACTGTTGTTAATACAACCTGATTGCTCTTAATATTATGCATTTATTAAACATGTATGAGTGTCGGTAATAATTAAAACTGAGACTGTTTAGACGTTTTATATTAGTTTTAACATTCTACACATTTCGGAATTTGATGCTCGGTTTTTTTAAGAATAAAAACCAAAAACATTACGTAGGAAAAATCATGATTATCATATGTATAATGAAATTAAATAATTACAATTATAAAAAATTGTTTAAATCGACACGATCTAATCTAAATAGATAGAATTATCATTTTAAATTTAAATTCAAATATTACATGCAATTTATAACGGGCACTAATATAATAAGATAACAACTCTAACGGGCAAAAAGTGATGATGATCGTAATTTACATTCCTAAACAATTTGTCACTTTCATATATTTACACGGATATATACTATAAAGTTTGGGAAACTTGCGAAATATCAAAATAAGATTTTTAAAAGAACCGTCAATTCGAAGGCGTATTCGTAGGCGTATCTCGTACAATTATCTTAAAATTATTTGCGCCATTAAATGTACAGTGTCTTTGATTTTGTAACGTAGATGTTCTGTCACTGTTAAGGAGTTGGGTAAAGTCCAATACTTATTCGTTACACGCTCACGATTCAAGACCACTGCGCTATACTTAGCGTATAGAGGACGCGATTCTAAATCGATGCGTACTTGTACCTTTTATGTGCTTTACTTTTCGAGCTAAGGAGCTATATACATATGTATACCTATATCAGATACTCGATCGCTGTCGAGACCAATCAGAACTAAATCCTAGATTTTGTATAAAACAAATAATAATTGAGCAATTATTTGAAGATCGGTTTGCGAGCTCGTACTGGCAAGAGGAGAGTGCGAGGTGTGAGCTCATATTGAAAAGGGGAGAGTGAGAGCTCGTACATAAAAGGGGAGGTGGAAACTTGTACTAAGAAAAGGGGAGTGTGAGCTCGCACTGAAAAAAGGGGAAGTAGCTTATACTGGGGTTATTAACCTGTCACAACCACTTACATTTCCGTCAAAAGGATTTGACTCACAACTTGAATTCGACGAAACGTAATGACAAATGTAGTGTCGTTATTGTTATCAGTTCTTAGTCAATATGAAATCTCTGTAATGAATACGTCTAGACGAATGTACGTATGCTGTTTTTTTCACGTAATTTTCACATAATAATCGGTTTGCGGTTGTAGCGAGAATTCCGAGCTGTGCGATTCAGTCAACTTATTTTATAAAGATGAAAACAAAGTTGTAGAGATACAAATCCACAAACTCTTTCCTTTCAAATTATAACATTTTAAAGGCACATTATTCTTATCGATATTCGCTATCTGAATCTGATTAGTTCCGTGAGGTTGTTTATCAGTTTACTGATAAACTTTTTAACACACGTTATTCATCGGTAGATAAGACTGATTAGTTCTTTGTTTATGGTGCTAAAAGACATTGAGTAAAAGAAGCAGCATTTTGATTACTGCGATTTTCTGATTACGTTTATCTTCCTTTGCGTATAGTAATGTAATTCAAAGACTTCGCGGAATTGATAGCATTGTTAATTATATCAATAATAGTTATACCGTGGAATTTGTAAAAGTTCATTTATTCATACATTGAGATATTTATGTGTTTGCGTTTGAATTAACCACAAAATGTTGGCAAACGTTAATTAATTGTAGGTAATATTTTTCAAAACTACCAGCTTATAAAATTGTATTATACATTATTAATAAAATTGTTAAAGAAAATAAAAAGTTATTCTAGCTACAAATGAATTGGTGTCCCTTTCAGTAATAATAAAGATTTTATGAGAAATATGGACAATATCAATTTTAATTTTATTATTAATATGTTTAAATTTTAAATTGCGCAACAAAACTAAACGGAACGAGGAAAATGATACTTCTCTTCACTTCATTTGGGTGATAATACTGTTATCTTGTTTATGAGTTGTGTGCTAATGGCAGTACCTATTAGTTACTTGAGAGCTTGCGCACAAAGAATTTGTAATAATTAATAATTGACTCGATTAAGAATTTATTTTAATTATTACTCGTTATAAAGGGACTTATCTTACTTTTAGAAAAACCATTCGTGTAATAATATTGTACAGGCAAATTTCTTTTCGATGAATTTATAAAAATATTGTATACTATTGACTGTCTATTGTAAATATCAGAAGTATGAGTATGAGTGTTTGAGTAGTGATACGGAGCACTCAGTCTCCGTGGACCATTATACTCGGGCCCATATGGGCAGGTATTACGTGGGAGAAAGCAAGAGGCCGGGCTCCTGCGCGAAGCGATCACTATCTCCCCCAAATAGGTGGATTCCAGGTGTCGGGGTCCTAGGATTCTCGCTCTGGAGTCCTCTAGTGCCCTACATCCTCCAATCACATGCAGATTATCAATATCAAAAGAATATATCTGTGTCTAAAAATTAGATTAATTCGTTGAGACAAACTTTTTCACAAAAAAAAAAAAAAACAACTAAATATTGTTTTGAGAACTCAATTAAAAAAAAATTAGACTTATACTATTTTTATAATAAACATCTCACATGTGAATAAACATTTCACCTGTCCACCACTCATGTATGGGTTTTTTTATTGACGACATACGAGTTTTAGGACAGGGCTTTTCATTAAGGAACTAAAATAATCAATTCTGAAGGTAAGGTGTTAAATTATATACATAGGTTTCAATTATCCCAAAATATAATCTTAAAAATATTCACAAGTATTCGTCTGGCAGTGAGCGTGTTAAAGGGAAATGGGTAAAGAAGTTTCAAGAGTGGGTGCCTGGTAAACTTAAAATGAGAATCAGCAATACGAACGTCATTCGATCGAACCATTTTTGAATCGAATAGAGGCTCGTGACGAGAATGGATAATGTATGATAATCGCGAATTTAACGGCTGGAAGATTACGAATGATAACAGTCTCTACCAAAACTAAGTTTATAAAATTTACACTCCTAAAAATATAATACGTGTTCATGTATTTGCTTATAATAATGTGAATTTGTCACCGTTCTAACTGTGAATCAAAGACGAGCAAAATGTTTTTTTTTTTCATTACAAACGATTTGAATGACTATCTTCTTAATTTGTATTCTGCCTGTGTACAAATGATTAATTCTCATGTTGTATTCGGTACCTGTATACTAGTTATAGAGTGCTATGAATATAATTACATACTCAACTATTTCTACATTTCTTATAGCATTAAAATAAATTTTTGAATGAACGATTTGTATTTTCATAAGGAGATACAAAATAAAAGTTATTAGAAATAATAAACGAATTATTTTCTACTTCAGAAATCAAATATAATTGTATTTCGTGTTGTAAACAAATGTAAATGTAATATTAACTCTAATTGCTTTTAATTCATCATTCTATAGATTTTCTTTTACTTTCTATTGCAAAATGTAATTTGTAATCGCAGCCACAATTGCGTATATTTCAGCAGGGAACCTGTAATTGTAGCCGGTATCGATAAGCGTTTACAAGTTATTGATCACGTAATCAGTTTATAAATATAATTGCAGTATTATACTCTGACGGTCGGTAACTAATTGTATGGTACTGTCTAGATGGCACCACTTGTAAATCTCATTAATTTAATTTGTTATCCTCTCAAGTTGTGTTGAGGGGAAGATTAGATTTTGGATTTATCATCAATTTCTTTGAAGTCTCTTATCTGTAATTCCTTATTTCAATGATCTGAAGATGAAGACCGGAATGTCATTATCAAGTTTGTGAAACTGGAATATGACGAGGAGGAGGAGGATGGAGGAGGATGGAGGAGGACTGCCATCAATTTTGAAAGAGAGGATTTCTTTAATCTCTTGAGGGACAAATTATTTTGTTAGAAATAAACAAAAATTCAAGTTAATAGTTATCTGCCACCTATCGATCTCGTAACGATGTGGATGTACTATGCCGTAGGAAAAATTAATTGTAAATATTTCTTTACGCTTCTAAGTACTATTTGCATACGATAGAATATCAAACAAGTTGGAAACTAAACTATACACGGATGTGCTATTCCTCAAGAGGTTACATATGTACATAGATAATTCATAAAAATCACCTCTTCTATAATGTTAGTTTATTACTTCGAAGTGTATTATAAAGAGTTCTTCAAAAGACACTTAACGACGCCATTTTTCACGTTTAATTGTAATCATGTATGTTCTTTCATTTACGATAAAACAAAAAATCGAATATATTCCATACCATTTGTATTTGATTAAAAATCAAATTTCTAAAGCCCCTTTTGGAAAACCCTTCGGTCCTCAGTATAGTGAAACGATTTGAACACGCTTTTCAGCTCTGATTTGTTCGACGGGGATCTACTTCTTGCATCACGACGCACAAGTGCGGACAATAAAACTTCAACTTGCCCAATTATTTTCTCCCCAACGACTTCGTTAAATGTAATTGAACAGATCGTATAATAAACTTCAAACACTCTTCCGTATAGTAAAACATATTCAACTGTCAATTTTGCAAGTTGTAGCTTCAGCGTTTGTTTGTTTTTTAAATCATCTTAACAAATAAAAACGTTGGTGCGTATACAAGTCTGACCACAACGGCTGAACTATTGAAGTTATCCACCTTACATTCACACCATGTATTCGTGTGGTGCTACGGATTATTTTTGTTTGCGTTAGAACCTCCTAAGTGGTGCTGGGGTTGTTTTTTTTTGGGGATATTCTTATTTATTGACCGATTTGGCTCAAATTTACACCATATAATATTTAAAAATATCATATTCTGTTTATATATTCTTTTCGAGTATGTTTTCAAGAGATGTGTTTGTCAGAATAGTTTTTACGAGGCACGTTGATAAGATATCTAAATTGTTTACTGTTTGGTTAAGTATATAGTATTGGATGCATTGTTCTGGAGGACTTTATCACTATATACCGTACTACACGATACTACTATATACTCGTTAAATTTAACCTCGACGTATCAGTGAATGAGCATTGTATCCAAAACAAGCGAAATAAGTAAATTAAAAGAAAAAAAAAATGGTTAAATAACGAGTTTTTCTATTTTCTTGTTATTTCATAATGGAAGAATTTCCACACGACTCGTGATTAGATCGTACAATTCGAACAATCTAACAATTATCCATGATTACAATGTACACAGTATGTGCTGAGAATACCTCTCAATTTTTCGTATTTCTCAAAATCAACGATGTGTACAAAGTATTTATTCATAGATCTGTATAATGTACCCCTTTCTTGGTAACACGCAACAAAAAAAAACTGCATCTTTTTAATCTATTTTTAAAATGATAATTTAATTAAAAAGTGAGTGTGTTATTTTAATTTTAATTTTTGTTGGGACTTACTCAACTATATTAGTACTACTGTGTTAGTATTAATATAGTTTAGTGATTCAGACCAACTGGCCCTCCTCTAGCTCGGGTACCTCGGGATTGCAAAACCCGTACTGTAGCTATACAATCAAACGTAGCTACAGCCCCTGAGGGCAATATCGAATTGGCATAAAGTTTATTATATTGATTTTGTATATCGAGCCATTTTCATGAAAAAAATTGAGAAAATGGTATATTTTATTGTTGTTCAATCACTAGAGCATTGGAAATTGAGTTACGTTAAGTTTGAACATACGTATTTTGACAAAAATGGTTACGTTTACATTGAAATAATTATAAATTATATTCCCATTTTTGTCAATTAACTTTTAATAAAAGCTACATTCTAATTTGTATTAAACACACGGATGTTTACAGTATATCTAATACAAAGTATGAATATACATATAACAACATATAAAATTTCACGTAATTTTACAAATTTTGTTCACACATTTGTCGAAAACGTACAATATTTTTCAATTTATCAATGTGGTATTCGTCCCTTGAAGTACCTATAGATAAACAAATAAATATTTTGTACATGTTTTTATAAAGGCATACAATACTTATAAATAAATGTTTCACTATGAACAAATCTAGATAAAGTTTTATTCGGATAACAATGTTTCCGTGTTTCACAATCCGTGTTTCATGAATAGGAATTTATGTGAACAAAGATTAATCTGGACAAATTTTCTATCTGATACTCGTGTATGAGAGTTTATGTGAATAAAAAGTATCTGTGCTTCGCAGATAATAGAGGAGGATTGTTTCTAGCGTCACTCGCGCGAAGGTCGATGTAAGGTCGTAAAATGGAAGACGATAAATTAATAATGTTTCATCTGAATCGTTTATTTCCAACAGTGATGAAACCGTGTTATGACTGGAGCTATATGTACACGTTTCACGTATCAGAAGTACTCGAGAACCGCAGTATTGCTTTGGCATTTTATTTATTTGTTTCCAGATGTAGAAGATTCACGTACCAATCGGCGATAAATTATAATCAATGCTTTTAAGATTATTTTTGTTCGTTGAATTATACCATTGCCATAACTAAGTGAAACGATTTTAGGCTAGCGTTATATTTAATCAATTTGTTTCATTAAAATAAAAGAATTTCGAAACTGAGAATACACAAGATTGAATTATAGAAACTGAGATCTCTAGAATACATTAGTAAAGTTTTATATTCATTTTAAATGCCTTCTTAAAATAAATGTTTTGCACTAAAACACCGAATTATGCATTAATCGCCTTTAAACATCTAATAGAATTAATGACACACATTTCACACATGTTTCTTTTCATTCAAGGTTAAACGAAGGTCATATCAAAGTTGTCTCCTTATAAGCTAGAAGATTATAATATCGAAAATCTGAAGAAAAAAAACAACTAAATAACCAAGAAATAATTTTGTAGCGATCACAACAGTACTTGTCCCTTTACATCGAACAATTTCTCCCTCGAAAACTTTCTCGTATCGTCAAAGACGACCGAGATATTTCAGGTGGACAAGTCGAACGAAACACTGCATATGTATGCATGCACGTGTGATTGTGTGTGTAGTAAATCTCTCCCTCTCACGTTCGATAATGGGGGGAAATTGAAACCCAAAGATCCAAGGAATGTAGCCGGCGTAAAAGCAAGTGACATAACTGTCTAACGTGTTCTTGCATAATACGTAATACGTGCGTTTTCAAAGGAAGGATCACCTCGTCTTCCGCACTTCAATAGTTACGCGTTACGTGTAAATTACGTATGCGTGGTGACCAACTGGTGAACGAAACGTCAGTGAGGTAGTCACGCTGTAACCTATCATTTCCGTACATATGTATTTAAAAAGTATTCGCATATCGCATTCGCTTGGACACGGGCATATGTCGTGCGAGTGAACACGAGCCTGTGTCACTGATGACTTGCTAGTTTTTCCTTCTCATCGTGACGACGTGCTGTCGTATCAAGGCTCAGCATAAACGTCGCGAACTCGACCGCGGTTGTAACGTGTCTATCGGTATCGTGCTGCCGTAGTATCTCTAGTAGCACTTTTCTTCGCTCGGTCCACGTGAATTATTATCGAGTGCGTGCATCAAGAAAATCTCAAACAACTTTGCTACCAAACGGGGCACGCTGCTGATCCTACTTGGTCTCTTCACCTATACGGAATGAGCCTACCGGTAAGAATAACGTGCCAACGATTGCCAGACGTAAGATGTTTATGTTAGAGATAATTATATACAGTGGATGCATACTACATACATGCGTTAGTCAATCTTTTCGATCTTCTGTGTGCCTGAGAGTCTCACCTCGAGGCACTACGTTCTCCGTATTTTAGTAACATTTATCAGGCTTCAAAAATTTGTAAATTCATTAACTAGTTGAAGACTGTTGACGTATGTATATGTCTAGAGAAAGCTACCCGTGTGTGACTATGGACGAATTTATGCATTTGGGACAATTATCGGTGCTTTTTATGTTTATTTGTTTGCATTTATTCAAATTTGCATTTTCAAATATTTGAATGCATTAATTGCCAAGTTGAATGTTTCCAACCCGTTTGAGTGCTATAAAGGCATATGTGTACGTAATGTATACATGTATGTAAACGTCTTATTTAACTTGGCAGTAATGTTTCTGGAAAACTAAATTAACGTAACCGGTTTCACTCGATTGTGTTCCATCGATGCTCGATATTTTATTTATGAGCTAGTTGAAATATATTGTCTGCAAAACGCGTCGTAAAAGTAAACAAGGTCTTTAGTAAATATGACTAATGCTTAGACTTGTTGCAAGGATTAGTGATGTAGATAATTATAAGCTTGGATTGAGTCGCAAGGTAGTTATCTTGACAGCTTTTTATGAATGTAAACAGGTACAAGTTGTTGTGATACCGATATCGCTGTAACTCAAGCGCGAATAATATAGACCGTCTGACAGAAGGAATTATGTTACTGTTTCTAAGTGTTAAATTCATTCTGTAAGTAGACATCGCATATTACGGATCACTATAATATTGTCTTTTTCACGCTGATATTTTTGTACAATTACACGACAACTGTTTGACCTCTGGTAAATATAATTAAAGATATCGTGAAATGTAACGCATATTTCGACAGTCACATTTTACTTTGCTGAATTTGTTATTAAACTTATACAAATATTTGTATTATATTGAATTCTTTCACGATTGGAGTGTTTCTCTTCTCTCAGAACATTAATTTTGTCAACTTCTAAATTCAAATGTTTTCCATTACCCATATCGTAACACTAGTATTATTAACGCTACGCCAAAGGCAAGAAATCGTTAAAACAAGCGAAATCGCTTTCGGAATAGTGAGAAGGCTGTTGAGGTTAAACAGTTGTCGCGTAGTGTATACGCTACGGTGAATGTGATAAATGCGGTGATTATGCATAATCCCCACTAAAGTTGGTGAATGTGATAAATTCTGGAATATTTATGGAATTCACCGGTGATTTTATATAATCCCCAACTCGTAATTGGGAATGTCATAAAATTGTTAATGTATATGCTGTCTACACGGAAATACTGTCAGAGTAGGTTTCGACCTAGTTTTTTGTTGGACACTATCACGCGATGGGCTGCGAATAACAATATTTTACAATTTACAACTAAAAATTCAATTAATGGTTATTTTAAGTCGCATATAAATATGCATTTAGTCATTAAAGGGAGAAGGGGTATAACGGTTGGAATAACATTTGGAAGAAATGTCGTTTTTAGCTTCTTTTTCCATCGAAGTACGGTTTCGCGATGGTTTTCAGATTTTGAAAGTACATTAGTTCCGGGGACCCTTCAAGTGCATTTATCACATTCCCCATTACGAGTTAGGAATTACATAAAATCATTGGTGAATTTGATAAATATTCCAGAATTTATCACATTCACCGTAACTTATACATATGTATAGTACTAACAGTCTCAGCTTGCTTGATTAGGTCTGGGTTAAGTTTGGTTATATCTGGGTTAGGTCTCGATCTTCAGAGGAAATAGATTTCTTTTCCGTAAAAAACAAAATCTTGATCTTTCTTCAACGCTAGAATCGGCAAACTTGTAGAAAAGAATGGTGACTACATCATTGATTAATAAAACCGTATTCTTTGAAATTTAACCCATTGAACTTTATTTTTAAATCAGACGCGAACTTATCCATTTACATATTCGGGCTATTAGATAGGTGTCTCGTAACCTCATGCTTAGCTTTTTCATTGATCGACCAAGGCACCATGATCTTTCCGTTATAATTATGTTAATGTGTCTACGTTAACTAAAATAACCATCAACAAAATTATCAATATTTTTATTGCCCGTACTTCACACAATTAACTACTTTTGCGCATCAAATCTATGAAGCCAGAATCTACTGCAACACATGTCATCCGCGATAAAACAAAACATTTTATAATAACACTGATAAGATAGTCTCCAGAGGTCTCATTACATAGCAACAAATACACGCTGCAATTTACATCAGAAAGTACTGCACTTTTGCATACATCTAAATCTAGCGTTTACGGAACAAAAATCACGTATTTGGTTAACATAAACACTTCAACTTGGTTACTCGAATCATTCGAATTTTTAAAGCTGTTCTTATAAACACTAGAGAACCGAGCAAACAGTATGTATGCTGTAAATTAACGTTATGCAAACATTGGATCGAATAAAAAGTCTTTCGTTCTTTCATTCGTCGCATTTGTTAATTTTTAAATCAATATTAATTAATCATTCTCGTTTGTTAATTACTTTAATTGTAGAATTTTACTTTGTGTTCCACGTTTATGGATAGTGCCAAAGTAAATATAAAAATATTAACACCAATAGAAACAGAATACATACTAAAAACTAGACCACCTGACGATACATCCTGTGATTTGAAACACATCATTAATACAGGCTTGTGCATCGAACAATTATTTTGAATTCTTTCACTGACTAATTTTACGTAATACTTAAAAAGTGCAACACTCATTTCACCATATCGTACAATAAGTGATTCCATTTATGTATTGGCTTTTTTTTTTTACATTTAAAATATTCATGATCGGTTTTTAGAGAAGGTTAATGGCAACATTTGAACCTGACGATTTACTGATTTGTCAAAAAAACTCTACGTCATAAGCTACTAGTCCTTAAATCAAACGCCAAATTCGTAGGAAAATCTGGTCATCAAATAGGCGATCCAGTTTGGATTTGTGCAAAATATTGAAAACATATATTTTGTTTTAGAATTGAATTGAAATTAAACATTGATATGTAAACGTATATAAGATAAAAAAAATGAAAACATCCTCCATAAAAATGTGACAAGAAATATAAAACTACAATTTTCATTCATTGTTTATCAGCATCGACTTTTGTTTACTAAAAAAAAAACATACAAACTGTTCCAAAAATAAAAATGAAAATAATAAGAACATAATAGAAATGGAAACAACAAAAACAGATAAGACCGAGTTTCCTTTACTCGGATACTAGCCACGTGAGTCAAAGAGTTAATTAAGGATAAACATGTAGTTATAGTGATGAGTCATGTCCTTATATCGTGTGAAAAATTCATTGTTACGTCACAGGAAATTGTGGTACTTCGGAATTGAACGTAAGTGTGACGTATCTTTCACCAAATAGGTCACTAACTATTTCGTCACAATCTTTTTGGTTGGAATTATTCATCTCCAAGAATCCAACTATTTCCTCACAATTATTTTGTTCGGACTCATCCTATAAAACTGTGTATGCACAATATTTCTCTGTTTAATTTTGTTTCCACAACTCTAAAAAATTGACGATTACGAGATTGCTATTCGTTATCAGTTGATCTACACCTTGCACGTGAAAGTGCAACGGCAGAAGCAGCGGCAGCAACAGTTCAAGGAACATACGGAGTTAAAAGCGAGAATTGAGCTATTGTTAGAGCATATTGAGCAAATTAAGGATCTCTCTACTAAGCGAAGACTGACATACACGATCTTGTACGACAAATATTGAAACTTGCATTGCGCGAACATGGATCTAACCGATATCAATGAAGTGGAAGGTTTGAAGGACTACTTGTCTCGAACTTAAAATACAAACTGACTACGACACATTAATGGAATGGAAAAAGAAAACGTATGACGTATGGAAAACATTTTCTATGAATAATTCCCAAGCTTGCATTTGCGAAGAGAAAACGTCTCAAACTGTTTCTATTATCTTACTTTTCTGGGAAGTGATTGGAAATGGGAATCATTAGCAATAATGACCTACTACATGAGGCGAGTGTTGAAAATATACTGGCTTACTGTAGAAAGTTGGAATTCACAAGAACCACAGTAGATTAACCAAAGATGGAATAGAAATACGATGGCGAAAGCTTAGTGTCCCTTACAAGGGAAGTTTGGCAATTGACAGACGCAACAAAATTTGGATTATTGTTGAAATAAAATTCATGTGGCCCTGATCACAATGCCCTTTTCCATTTTGGCCTAAAAACGGTTTTAAGGGTAGAACACTCCTTCGAATTAATTCTGCATACTTATATTTTTGTTAATATCTCGGAGACAAATTTAGAAAAAAATTATTTTTAATAATATTTCCCTGACCATAAATCGACTAAAATTTGAAAAAAAATCATAATTCTTTGGGTAAACGAATTTTACTTATCGAAACTGCGTGTCTTTAAGTGAAGAATTTTATAAAAATATGAAACAATTGAAAGAGTCTATTTTTTAGTTCTTTTTGGCAAAAGAATACATCAAAAGTTGTATAATCTTCAGAAATTCGTAGCTCTTTTAATAATACACATTTTGGAATGAAACTTTTTTCCGTCGTAGATTTCATGGAACCCTACAAAAAGAAACATTAAAAGATTTTTCTGTAAAGTGAAAACTTAATTTTTTTTAAATGAACGGAAGAGTTTTTGAAAAATTCGCAAGGGTTGGGTTAGGTCGATTTGGGTAAAAATATAATATTGTCTATAAATGGATTTTTCATTTCATCGGTGAAAATGAAGCATATTTCGTTAAATAACACATAGACGTAACATCTATTATGTACGAGAAAAAAATTCCAAAAAGAAAAAGAAAAATGATTTGTGAACCTCTTTAATTAAGCAACGAAACATCTGCTTATATGGAAATTTCTAATACATCCTCGTTTATCAAGGACCCTATGTAAACCCTTCGTTTTCAACCCTCAGCGCATCGGAAGTATTCATTTTTGTATAGAGTCACATAGTTACCTATCGCTAAACCGAGGATGTTTTGCAGTTATGGTACACTAATATGAATTTATTTTAATAATTGATACAATAACATTAACATTTCGTTTTGTATGGTTAACAATGTTTAATATACATTTGTCATATTTGTTTGTATCATAAATGCATAAAATCCGAAGTTTATTTATCACATTTGTTAATCTCTATCCTTGAGCTCGATCTAAAGTCTATTCTACTGTATGAGATGGTAATTTGATTACTCATTTATTACGGTACTATACATTTGTATCAACAGAGTGAATTTATAATCCATCCATATAATTTATTACTAGAATCAAGTCAATTATTTCTGAAGTCATAAAAACTCATTACAGAATGATGAATGATTAATTTAATTATTTCATATAATTTATTACTAGAATCGAGTTAATTATTTTTGAAGTTATAAAGACTTCATTAGTGATTATAGAGGATAAAGTTATGAGAATTAAAATTTTATAAAGAATTCCTTCAAGTTGTTGGACAACCAGCTTCTTAGCTTATCAATTTTATCGTTACTTATGCTTAGCAAATTGACACTTCTTCCAAACAGTCAAAGTGTGCAAAACATTTTAGCTAGTACAGTGCACTTTCTAATTAAAAATTCGAATTCTCGATAAGGTACGACTTCCAAATTCGCCTATTATAAAAATATCAAAATTAAAGGTCATACAAGTGATCTTCTTGTACATTACCGTTTGAAAAATGTACCTTCACGGTCGCCACTGCGATATAAACAATTTATAAATATATAACAATATAAAAAGAAAAAGAAATGTATGTTTTGGATCAGACAAAAAGAGTACCCCCTTCACCAAGAGTCTAGAGGACACTATAAATACAACTCCAAAATTGGACATGCGGTTGTTCAAACGAAATTCTACAAACAGATAGCTTACATCAGTTCGTCACTTTACGTCACTTCCTGCCTGAATATTTAAAAAACTACATTTAAATACATTTTATTACAATTAAAATATTAGTCTACAAATTGTTCATACAATTCTTAACAAAATTTTCCATTCAAATGATGCGAGCAAAGCAAATCGAAATATTATAAATATACTGAGATATATGTAAGAAAATATGATTTGCGTAAAAAGAGGCGCTTCAACGTTTTAAACAAACAAAAATGCGATAAAAAGGCATCTGCATAAAAATGGTAGATGTGTGAATATACTGTCTATGAAACTGTGTAGTTTGAAAAGCTTAAAATAAAAAAAATTTTAATGTATATAGAGATAGGATATAATACTTTGATCTTTCGTAATATTTTATATAAACATTTAACAAGAAGAATATATATAGTAAATATAAATTTTTATAACCATAGTAGAATTTCACCGCTTAATGTGTATAAACAGCTTCTAACTTCACCAAATTAACTACATCAGCGTCGACTACCCACGTCTATCCAAAAGAATATGAAAAAATGTTATATATGCGTATATTTGTAATGAAACATTTATTTGGAAATTTATGTTTAATATGTTTATAATTAAAGAAAGGATGAACCAACTAATTTGTAAATCAAAATAATTCTCTGTCCCTAATTACACGGTTTAGTGATTTTAATGTTAAGAAACAACACTGTTCTCTATGTTGATTTAATGCCTGCTAAATTATTTCATAGGATTAGCTTGATAATAATAGTACAAATTAAGTGTAATGATAACCAACCTAGACCGTTTACGAAATTCTTTGTTTTTGTTATAGAGCGTTACTGCGTCACAACCCAAGGCAATAAGAATGGCCGGTTCTCCAGTGCTGGAGAACGAAGATAAGACCGAGGTTCTAGATGAACCCCTGTTCAGTACCCTCGACATAGTACTTCTTAGTGCGCTTTTATTAGCTGCATTATGGTGGTTAATGCGTCGAAATAAACAAGAAGAATACACGGCTGTCACAAAATCCTATTCCATTCAGTAAATATCACATGTTTAATTGAAATATTTGTTTAATGTCCTGTTAAGTCTATTGACTACTATTGAAATTTGTAATCGTTTCATTAAAAAAATGTTGATGGTTACCTATGCTGAAGTTCCCACAATATAATGTTATTTAGATATATTTGATCAAACCATTAACGTTTATATTGATAATTGTTTGTTATAGGCCAACGTTGTTCCCTACAGTAACACCATCAGAAAATTCTTTCATAAAAAAGTTGAAGACATCAGGTAGGAGTTTAGTAGTATTTTATGGCAGTCAAACCGGAACTGCAGAAGAATTTGCAGGCCGGTTAGCTAAAGAGGGCATCCGATACAAGATGAAAGGCATGGTGGCTGACCCTGAAGAATGTGATATGGTAATAATTAAATTTCATAGAGATGAATTTACCTTTTATATAGTTTGTATGTTTATCAAGTTATTCAAGTGATAGTATAACAATATACTTCAACAATTCCTACAAGAAGAGAATAATTATACTTTTAAGTTCAACAAGTATTAAACTATATTTTTACTCTATCATTTATTTTTGGGAGCAAATTTTCTTTTTTTTTGGGGGGGGGGAGCAGAAGTGGCATCTCTTAAAAATTATACATATATCTATGCATTAAGAAGTATCTGTAACACTCATCATCACATATAGAACACCATTAGACCTTACAATTTAAAAGAGAATTAAACACTAAGTAAAAACAGCTATAGTACTTATTTCTTAAGAATTCAGTTTCATGTGTATGCTGAGAGATAGAGGGAAGAGTGGAATAGTAGAAGTGAGTTGACTATAGTGTCCACCTGCCACAGTGGCAGTTGTTCCTCATATCTCTTGATCATTGTTCACTCAATACAAATGAAGATTTGAAAAGAGTGAAAATGTTATGTTAATGTTTAGTTTACATTAATTGTATCTTATTATAACAGGAGGAGTTAACAAATCTTAAAACAATACCAAACAGTTTGGCAGTATTCTGCTTAGCTACGTATGGAGAAGGTGACCCTACGGATAACGCTATGGAATTTGTTGATTGGTTGAAAAATGGTGATGGTGATCTCTCTGGATTAAATTATGCTGTATGTATTAATTTTATTCTTTACTTCTTAAATGTTAAACACTTTTCAAATGTAGGATATAATATGAAAATTCAAGAACACAATCTGTTTACAAAGGGCTTTTCAAAAGAGGATTTAGGATTTTGTGTTCCAATAACATACAAAAATTGTATGAAACATATCCAATTATCTATTTTGTTGATGTTTAAGTGCTCATCATAATTATTCTAGATATCTATTCTAAATTCTATTCTATTAAATTAAATCTTATCTATTAAATCCTATTAAATCCTAAAGCCCCTTTTGAAAAACCTTTTATTTCTCATAAGTAATATGAAACTATTCTTCTGAAACACAAAATACAAGTAAAAATGAACTATTACTAGAATTGTATATGAATAATAATGTCATGTTAATTTTAATAGTTACTTATCATGTACATTATGTACAAGATAACTTCTTGAAATACTCTCATGAACACAAACTTTTATACTTAAATTTAATGCTGTATGAAAATTTACAAGAGATGTTTGCAAAATCTTTTGAAGTTATCAACTATAAGCGTAAAACTTTTTATAAAGCAGTGCTATTTACGTAACCTCAAAAAACATTTGAATGACATTATTTACCTTTAAACTTTTCTAGTATTGTAAATAGAGTGAAATATCTCTTAAAGTATCTCTATTTCAATAAATTGCTAAACCCAATTTTGAGTCTGTGTTTAATTTTTGTGTAAAACAGCGTTTACACTAGTTTCTTCTAGTAGTTGCTATATCGGTGTTATAACTTTGTTGTATAATAGCAACTTCATCATATCTAACGACAGTGGTTGTTCCATCGATGTTATCATTTTGGCGTAAAACAAAATTTTCACTACATCTAATATCAATAGTTATTGACCCGATATCATGACATCAGCATAACTCAACATGAAAACATAGTGATTTTGTGCATTCATCAGAGATAACAGTTGCGTAACTGTTGAACGATTCTCTTGGATTCTTTGCTTTGATTTGTCTATTTGAAGTAACTAGACGAATCAAAGCAGAGAATCCAAGAGAATCACTCAACAGTTGTCTCTGCTGAATGCACCATTACGTAAGCCACTGAACTCTACTAGTGACGTAAGCAATGTGTAACAGTTGACATGGTCTGACACACGTGTATTGTACCATAGTCACTAGTATTTATTACAAGTATACTTTTACAAAAATAATTTAAAAATTGATGTATTAACTACAATAAATAATAGTTAATTAACTGTAGTAAATAAATAACACGTTCTGAATATTTTAATTATGTACACATCAAAATTCAATAAAATTTTACGTGTGATACTCAAATGTTGTAGGTATAATAGCGTCGCCCAACGGCACTTTGCAACATTATTTTTGCCGCCAATGTTTGAGGTACTTTTGGCAGTGCGTTTTTAATTTCCTTTAAACTCTAATTGTAAGATTCTGGTATGACGAATGTTGCAGCCATTTTAACAGTGTTTTATTTCAGAGTTATTGACATTTTATATAATGATTTTATTATTTGTGTTTTTTTTTTGTATTGTTTCTTGGTCAAAATAATGAAATAACACAATATAACAAGATACTGTAATTATGACGACAAACTCAAAAATTTTGATAATATTGCACAAATAATAAAGTAAAACAGTTCTTAATTTCATTTGAAATAAGAATTTAAAGATTATTGTGGTTCCAAAAATCTTTCTTTTGTATGTAACAGTTTGAGCACTAAGTTGTACAACGCATACCTTGTAAAATGAATTACATGTTCATTTGTAATTTATCATTTTTTAAAAATCTATTTTGCAGGTATTTGGACTTGGAAATAAAACATATGAACATTACAATGAAGTTGCAATATACGTTGACCATAGAATGGAGCAACTTGGTGCTACCCGTGTCTTCGAACTTGGTTTAGGAGACGATGATGCTAAGTAAGTTTTCATAATTTTCGATGTATTCCAATGTAACATCAATTTAATGGATTTCAAATTAATAAATGAAAACCTTGATACCTATAGTATAGAAGATGATTTCATCACATGGAAAGACAAATTTTGGCCAGCTGTCTGCGACTTCTTTGGAATTGAAGGGGCAGGTGAAGATGTTAGTATTCGACAATACAAACTTACAGAGCACGTTGAATTACCAATTGAACGTATCTACACTGGTGAAATAGCCCGTCTTCATTCATTTAAAAATCAGAGAGCGTAAGTTATTCTAATGTTCTGGAAATATGCGTATAATTACAAACCATTATAAGTAGGAAATTAGAATATAGAAATTAAAAATTGATATACATTTAACTTGTTCTATAGGCCATTTGATGCAAAGAATCCTTATTTAGCTCCAGTTAAAGTCAATCGAGAACTTCATGGTCCAACATCAGAAAGATCATGTATGCACATAGAATTTGATATAGAAGGATCAAAAATGCGGTATGAAGCTGGTGATCATTTGGCGGTATACCCTGTAAATAGCACAGAATTAGTAAACAAAATTGGGGAAAAATGTGGCGTAGATTTGGATACTGTGTTTACTCTTACAAATACAGATGGTAAATTTATAATACGCTTAATATTGAGTTGTTCAGGATTATCATCATATTTAATGTATTATTTTGTGCATTGCAGAGGAATCTACAAAGAAACACCCATTCCCTTGCCCATGTTCATACAGAACTGCTTTAACTCATTACTTGGACATTACTAGTAATCCACGCACCCACATTCTTAAGGAGTTATCAGAATACTGCAGCGATCCGAAAGATAAAGAAAAGTTAAAATTAATGACATCAACGAGTGTAGAAGGCAAAGCTGCTTATCAACAATGGGTAGTTCAAGAGAATAGAAATATTGTCCACATTTTAGAAGACATTCCTAGTTTAAAGCCAGCCTTGGATCATTTATGTGAACTGTTACCAAGATTGCAATGCCGTTATTACTCAATTTCCTCATCTCCCAAGGTAAAGTAATACGTCTGCAAAATTATTATATGTGTAAACAGTCAACGCTAAGATATATAATTATTATGATATATGATAGGAATAAGATGTACATATCTGTAATCATTTTTTAATTGTTTAGTTACATCCGACAACTGTTCATATTACTGCAGTTGTAATAGAATATAAAACGCCAACGGGTAGAATTAACAAAGGTGTGACTACCAGTTGGTTAAAGGAGAAACATCCATCAGATCCACCTTGTTACGTTCCTATTTTTGTGCGGAAATCTCAATTCCGTTTGCCAACTCGAATGTCAACTCCTATTGTTTTGATTGGACCAGGTACTGGTGTAGCACCATTCAGAGCATTTATACAAGAACGTGATTTTGCTAGACAAGAAGGTAATCGATCATTTTAATAAGTATTGTTTAATATAACGTATTAAAGCTGGTAAAACTTCGCAAAATGTTAAATAAATAAATCATTTCTTACGGAACACAAATTTGTTTTTTTAGGGAAAGAAGTTGGTGATACAATATTATATTTTGGATGTAGAAAGAGAGATGAAGATTACCTTTACAAAGAAGAACTTGAACAGTTTGTAAAGAATGGTACGTTGATTTTACATACTGCATTTAGCAGAGAACAATCTGAAAAAGTGTATGTTACGCATTTATTGGAAAAGAATAAAGACGAATTATGGAGAGTTATTGGTGAACAAAACGGACATATTTATGTTTGTGGGTTAGTATCAAATCATGTTATAATATAAAATTGATATTATATTTATTTATAATGAACATTTACAAGAATTTTTTCTTTTATTAGTGACGCTAAAAATATGGCACGTGATGTGCATAATATCTTACTAAAAGTTGTAATGGAAAATGGAAAGATGTCTGAAGCAGATGCAGCTAGTTATATTAAGAAGATGGACTCACAAAAGCGTTATTCGAGCGATGTATGGAGTTGAATATTATTTTATTTAATTTCATAGATATTTATAAGCTGAATTGTCTATGTAAACTTTTTAAATATGCCTTTGTGAACAGGCTTACTTATAAACTTCGTATAAATGTACGATACGCATGTAAACATTTAAAAATTAAGAGATGATTATAGATGTTAACAAAATTGTTTAGGTCCTAATTGTATTTATTACTCATAAGTAGTTAAAGAATTTTGTATAAAAATTAGCGTTTTGTTTTTATTTCAATTCGTCTTGTTCTATAATAATATTTTTATAGAAATTAATACAATGCAATAATGAATGTAAGTCAACTTTTGCAGCTAGCATGTATGCTCAACATCTGTATTATATTACGAACAAAATTCTATAAATTTAATTTTATAAATTAAAACATGTTACAATCTTTAGTGATAAGATAAGTTTAAAAAAATGTTTATCTAAACTACAATACTTATACTAAAATGGGAACAAATGGATAGATCAATAAAAGAAAGAAAAATTGCATTGGTCATTAAGACGAAATACGTATGAATTTATATTCTAAAAATAATTGTACATATTACACTGATTTAAGTATATATTATACTAAAAGTATGAAGTTCAGTGTGAATATATACATTTACGGTTTTAAGAAAATGTATGTAAGGAAACGCGGGCCTATTTGTTACAGAGGCAAGTTGTTACAATATGTTTCAGAAAATATAACTTGTGTTTATTACTGTTCAACGAAACGATGTTAACACTTTTATGTATGATCTGCTTGATTAAATTATTTTTGCTGTTTAAGGTAACATTTTTCGTTTAGATTTGGTTGTTGAATCATTTCATTCAACAAAATTACAAACCATTAGCGTCATACTCATCATAATTGTTAAATAAATAAAAGCATGAATTCGAAGTTATGGCTATCTTGGATATATGATGTTACATAAAGTTTATACCTGGGCAAAAGTGCGCTTAGTATACTTTACTGTATACAAAGATGAACTCATGTTGCTTGCTTAAGAGGTAACATAACTTTTTTTCGCATTAATTGCGAGTTTGAAGGTGTTAAGTGATATCTGTTATGGCCATCACTCGATGTAAACAATATGCCAAATGTAATTTTCTGATAAACGAACAGATTCTTAATCTCTTTACCATTTACTTGTAAACGTAAATTGCAGCTATTAGCTCATATTATTTGGTATGTAATTGATAAAGTCATCTGACCCTTACTGGCGATGTGCAGTTAGCAATTCCGTACTTCAAGTAATACAGAGGCCCCAGGTCTCACCACGTGGAGGTTGCTGCATATCGAGACCCACAGAGTGACCAGGACAAAACCAGCCAGCTGATTAGCTAGCTAGCCACATCCTAGCTACCCTTCTTAATCTACATTTTGTATTGCCCCTGGCATGCACTAATAAAAATAAAAAAAAAAAAATAATGTAGTACTACATTTAGGAAGATAAAGGGAAAGAGGGAAAATACATGTAATTAGTTTTCCGTTTGTCTGTCTTATCGTTGAATATTAATTGTTACTACCGATTTGAGCGCTCAAACTTAAATATATAACAGCTTTCATATACAACGGCTAATATGTATAATGAAAACACTATAGTGTTTCTCTTATTTCTTATTACACTTTTCTTATTTATATATCATAAATCTAATTGTATCAACACATCCAGCCTGCAATGATATTCAAGGAAATACAGAAACGTACATGTTTCCTTCTTTCTTTTTGTAATGAATGATATCACGAA